ACTTTTCAGTTTCAGAATTTCCATTTGGTTCCATTTCTCTGCTGAGATTCCTTATCACTTAAGATCTAATTTTTCTTTAATTATTTTGAACACATTTGCCTTTAAAATTTTGAACATATTTTAAACGTACAATCTAAATATTTATAATAACTGTTTTAAAGGTTTTGATAAATTCAATATTTAAATCTCATCCCAAGGTTGGTCTCTGTTGACTGCATTTTTTCTTTCCTATAGGTAGGGTCCGATTTCCTGTCTATTTACAAGTCTAGTTATGGTAGATTTTCCACTGAATACTGTTTATGATATGGTGCTGAGACTCTGAATTTTGTTTTGCATTGAAAAGTGTTGATGTTTGTTCTATTGGGCAATTTGAGTATTGGCTAATCACCTTGAAATCTGTGTAGTCTTAATTTTTTGCTTTGCTAGCTAGGGTGACTATAAAAAGCCCAAGATATTTTCCAAATCTTGTAACTTGGCAGAGCTCACTCTCCAAATTCTGTCTCCTCTAGGGATCTTGTCAAGACTTGGTTTAAGTTTTATTAGGGCAGGTCTAGAGTTGACCTTACTCTAAGGTGTGGTCCTTAGGCCTAAGGTGTGGCCTTTATGGTGTCTCAGCTACATGCTTGGGGCATTGAAAGAGGTGTTAATCTGGTCTCCCCACCCTGGCTGGGAAGCACTGTTAACATCCCTCAGCACTGTGGACTCCTAGTCTCTATTCCACTGTCAACTTTGCAGGAGTTGCTCTCTACTAAACATTCTTGTTGTTGAGTGCCATTGAGTTGGTTCCGACTCATAGCTGTATTTCCGAGGCATAGCTGGTGGGTTTGAACTGCCAATCCTGTGGTTCACAATCCAGTGTTGATCCTACTGCAAAACACCAGGAGTCCATCTAGTAAACCTGGGGTAGTCTTAGGCTAAAACTACTATTTTCAAGGGATCTCTACTTGGACTTCTGCCCACCTCACAACTATACAGTTGCCTTATCTCTGCTCCATGTGTCTAAGCTGTCTTTTAGTTTCAATGAGATGCCATGTTCTACCTGAATTCCCATTCACAGAGATGTGGTGAGAAATATGTCCTCAGGCAGAATACTGCAAATTTATAAAGTTTTTTTTCATGAGTTTTCCTTCTCTCAGCAATCACAGTATTGCAAAACAATTGTCCTATGCCTCATATATTTTAGCTGCTTTTATGGCTGTTTGGAATCCATGAATTGGAACAACTTATTGGAGTCTGCTTATGGTAGAAAGGTTAGCCTGTCCTGGTATTACTGATATGCTAATTTTAACATGTGTATATCATACAAAAATTAATGCTATTATTTATAATTTCACATAGCTTTACTTAGTTTCCAACTTACTCAAATTAACCAGCTTGTCATGATCCACAGAGTCAGGACTCTTTGCATAGTAAATAAAGCACAGGTAGACATTTTTCTGGTATTTTCTGCTTTCAGCCAAGATCCATCTGACATCAACAATGATATCCCTCATTTTACCTCCTTGTCTGAATCCTGCTTTAACCTCTGGCAGTTCCCTGTCAGTGCACTATTGCAATCATTTAAAAATTATCTTTAGCAAAATTTTACTTGCATGTGATATTAATGATACTGTCTGATGATTTCCATATTCCAATGGATCACCTCTCTTTGGAATGGGCATAGATATGGGTCTCTTCTAATCAGTTAGCCATGTAGCTGTCTTCCAAATTTCTTGGCATAGATGAGTGAGTGCTTCTAGTGCCACATCAGTGTGTTGAAGGATTTAAATTTGTATTCCATCAATTCCCAGAGGTTTGTTCTTTGTGAATGCCTTCAGTGTACCTTGCGCTTCTTCCTTCAGTACCATTGACTTCTGATCATATGCTACCTCTTGAAATATTTGAAAACTGACTATTTCTTTTTGGTACAATGACTCTGTGTATTCTTTCTATCTTCATTTGATGCTTTCTGCATCATTCAATATTTTGCACAAGGAATCCTTTAGTATTTCAAGTTGAGGCTTGATTTTTTTCCTAAATTATTTCAGCTTGAGAAATGCTGAGCATGTTCTTTCCTTTCGGGTTTCTAACTCCAGGTCTTTGAACATTTCATTATAATGCTTATCTTCTCTAGCTGTTCTTTGAAATTCTCTGTTCAGCTTTTTTACCTCCTCATTTCTTTCATTTTCTTTAGCATCTCTCCACTGGAGAGTAAGTCTCAGAGTCTCTTCTGACATTCATTTTGATCTTTCTTTCTTCCTTGTCTCCTTAATGACTTTTTGCTTTCTTCCTGTATGATGTTCTTGATGTCATCACACAACTCTTCTGGTCTTCGCTTTTTAGTGTCCAACGTATCAAATCTGTTCTTGAGATACCTGTAATGTATCAAATCTGTTCTTGAGATGATTCAGGTGTAATCTGTTCAGGGTCATATTTTGGTTTTTGTGGAGTTGTTTGAATTTTCTTCAGCTTTAGCCTAAACTTGCATATGAGCAATTGATAGTCTGTTCCACAGTCTGCCTATGGTCTTGTTTTGGCTGACGATTTGGAGCTTTTCCATTGTCTCTTTCCACAGATGTAGTCAATTTGATTTCTGTGTATTCCATCTGGTGAAGTTCATATGTGTAGTCATCTTTTATATTGTTTTAAAAAGGTATTTGCAATGATGAATTCACTGGTCCTTCAAAATTCTATCATGCAATCTCCACCATCATTTCTATCATTATTTTGTCTCGTGTTTCTTTGTTAAATTTTAGCAGTCTTTTTTGTTTCCTCTTCATTTACAGTGAGAACCAGTAAAAACTAAATATGAATTTGCTTGTTTCTATTAACCATTCAAAAATACACTAGTAGATTATGCTGTTGTTGTTGTTAAGTGCTGTTGAGTTTGTTCTGACCCATAGAGATCCTGTATAGGGTTTCTGAGGAGTGGCTGTATGAACTGCATAAGGTATGATTTAAGAAGTACCAGAAAGCTTTCTAAATCCAAATGGGGAATTGAAGATAACTTGCGACTTGAGCCAAGGAAGTCGTTGAAAATGGACACTTGATCAAAGAAAGGAGCTGTGTTTTCCTAACCAACAAAGCAACAAATGAACTCATCTTCTTAATTATTTTGCTCCCTAAATACCATCTTTTGACTAGGCACTTGACTATGTGGATCATAACAAAATATCACAAAGGATGGGAATTCTGAACACTTAATTGTGTTCATTAGGAACCTGTTCATAGACCAAGAGGAAGTTGTTGAACAGAACACAGGGATGCCGCATGCTTTAAAATTAGGAAAGAGTTGAATTATTTCCCCATTCTTAATCAGTATGCTGAGCTAATAATATGAGAAGCTGGACTATATGATAAAGAATGTGGAGAAATACTAACAACCTGTGATATGCAGATGACACACTTTGCTTGTTAAAAGTGAGGAGGAGCTTAAGCACTGATTGATGAAACTCAAAGACTACAGCCTTCAGTAGTTACACCTCAACAGAGAGGAAACAAAAATCCTCACAAGTGGACCAATAATCAATATCAAAATAAACAGAGAAAAGATTGAAGTTGTCATGAATTCCATCTTACTTGGATCCATAGTCAATACCCCTGGAAGTCAAACGATGCATTGCATTGGGAAAATCTGAGGCAAAAGACCTCTTAAATATGTCTAAAGGTAAAGATGTCATTTTGAGGACTAATGTACACCTGACCCAACCATGGTATTTTTCAATTGCTTCTGATGTTTGTGAAATCTGGACAATGAGTAAGGAAGAGCGAAGACAAATTGATGCCTTTGAATTATGGTGTGAGCAAATAGTATTGAATACATCATGGGCTACCATACCAGAAGAACAAACAAATATGTCTTGGAGGAAGTACAGTTAGCATGCACCATAGAAGGATGGAGCAACTTGGTCTGATGTACTTTGAACATGTCTGAAGGAACCTGGCTTTGGAGAAGGACACCAGGCTTTGTAAAGTAGAGGGTCAGTGAAAAAGAAGAAGCCCCTCAATGAGATGAAGTCACACAGTGGCAGCAACAATGGGCTCGAGCTTGGCAGTGATTGTGAAGAAGGCACAGACATGGCGGTGATTTATTCTGTTGTGCACAGGGTTGCTAAGAGTCTTAACAGACTCTTCAGCAGCTAACAAGAAGAAAATACCATCTTAATTACAATCTTAAATAATTGGGACAGTAATACCAAAAAGCTTTTTTTAAAAAAAGTGAAATGAAACAAGAGAAAAATTATGAAGACTGATGGAGTATGGTTTGTAAAATATGTCCCTTTAAGTTGGACATGTTTTGCTACTGTGTCCTTTTGGGATGATGTGGTTTTAATTTAAATTTTTACCCTTTCATATTTCACAAGGTGTGTTCCCTTGACAAATTCAAGTTAGACAGAATAATTGTTGTTGTTAAGTACTGTGGTGTCAGTTCCAACTCATAGCAAACCTCTATAGGGGTTTTGAGGCGCCACTGGTGAGTTTGAACCACGGACACGATATTTCCTATTATCAAAATTTTTAGTTTACTATATCTTTGTCTAAGTATGATCTCACATTTCTTGTTCAATATTAGTTCCACATGCTTCTAAACATTATCATAGGTTTCCTTTTACTTTATCACAGAACCAATGTCAACACTGTGTGACATTCTCATTCTGTCAGAAGACGGCCTCACAAGCCAACATTATACAGTATAGATACATCATGGCTTAGACTGATGATTGTGTCTCATGTTTCTTTGTCATATTTTAATATAGTGTTCTTTGTTTCCTTTATCATTTACAATGAGAACCAGTAAAAGCTAAATATGGGTTTGTTTGTTTCTTTAATTAAAAACCTTAAACGATACATTTCATCCTTTGGTTGTTAGGATGCTTTCAGTTATACATGTCTCACTGAGCACAATACAAAATTAATCATCGTCTCCCTAGTCTATAGATGTTGTTGTTTGATTATCTTATTTTTGAATACTGCAGTGCCTTATTGCCAGGCTAAGGACACAGACTCAATGGTGTACTTACATCAGGAAACTCCATGATAAAATCATAAGCATTTGCTTCCTTTGCTGCCTTCTCAATCTCTTCATCAGTTACACCATCTCGTCCGTATTTAATGTTGTTACTAATCGTAGTCCCAAACAAAACAGGCTCCTGACTGACCACTCCAATAAGTTTTCGGTAATGCCGCACATTAAGGTCTCTGATGTCATTTTCATCTACCGTGATCTGCCAATGCAAAGGAATAAATCCTGTTGTGGTAGCTTTCACTGTCTGTATGGTCTTAGATTCTTCCTTACTAGTCCAAAATATAAACTCAGAATCAGGGCATTTGAGGAATCAATTATATTCTCAAGAATTATGACTGTGCAGATCTGTGCAGTCTGAGTGTGGTGGCTCCATATGATAAGCACTGGATTGTGAACAAGTTCTGAGGTTTGAGTCCACCAGCTGCTCAGGAGAAAGATAAGGCTTTCTGCTCCCACAAAGATTGAAATCCTCAGAAACTCTATATAGGTTGCTATGAGTCAGAACCAAGTCTATGACACTTAACAACAACAAAAAAGACCTGTGCAATAAGCTTTAGTTTTGTTATTTTGAGACTGATGTGACCTCTACATTTCCTTCTAGGAAATAATCTTTCTTGACTTCTCTTCAACACCCTCTTTCCATTAGAAAACCAAAAGTGACTTTAGAGATGATACTGTTGTTGTTAAGCGCTGTTGAGTCATTTTCGACTCCTAGTAACCCTGTATTAGATTTCTGAGGAGCAGCTGGTGGCTTTGAACTCCTGGGATTGGGGTTCATAGTCCAATGCTGATCCAATAGTACCACACCAGGAGTGCAGAAATGATACCACTCTTAACATATTTTAGTCATAGAAACCAGGGTCTGACAATTAGAGTTCATAGTGTCTATATTGCTTACCAACACTGGTATTTTGTCTTAACATGGGTATTGATGTATGGGTATTTATGATGGTGGTGGTGGTGTGCTGCAGAGTTGGTTTCATCTCATAGCAACCCTGTATAGGGTGTCCAAGAATGTAAATCTTTATGGAAGCAGAAAGTCTCATCTTTTCTCACAGAGCAACTGGTGGATTTGAACTACTATCAGCAGCTTAGCTTGGAGCCAGGGCTCCTTATACATAGAATGCTTACTTAAAAATGTGTTTGTTCAATATTAGCATAGACACATGGATCTAGGACATTCCAAATTAAGACTGTTGTTAAGTGCTGTTGAGTCAGTTCTAATCCACAGTGGCCCTGTAAAGACTTTCTGACGAGTGCTTGGTGGGTTTGAACCACCAACCTTTTGGTTCAAACTGACCTGACAGTCTAGTGCATTATCCTGCAGCACCACACCAGGACTACAAATTAAGAATAAAAATTCAAATTTAAGTGAACCAAGCTCCAGAAGAGTAGATTTACTTTTAAAAGTGCAAAGTTTGAACAGAAGCATTAAGAATTGTGCTTCTAGGAATTCATCTTCTCATTCCGTATACCATTTACAAGGATGAGAAAGTCAAAAGCAACATTATGGACTATGGGGGTGGAAAGTGAGTATATTATCTACCGACATCATTCTTCAGCATTTGAGAAACTGAAATGCTTGCTAACTTTTCATACTACAAGTCACTCTATTTTTTCTCATAGCATTTATTTCCTTCTCCCAGTCCCACTGCTAAAAATTAAAAGCTGACACAGATGCAAGCTCCTATATGTTGTTGCTGTCAAGTGCAATCGAGTCGCTTCCAACCCATAGTGACCCTGTATAGGGTTTCCAAGGAGCCGCTGGTGAGCTTGAACCATGACCTTGCAGTTCAAATGACTTTATAGTCTGGCACATTAATCCATAGAGCCACACTAGGACTCCACGCTCCTAGACAGTAGGCAGTATTTCCAAACTCCTTCACCCTGAGGACTGTGTGTACTTTTGCTAGCTGCACTTACCGAGCCATCATTGGGATCATATAACCTCTGCAGAAGCTGGGCTGCTGTACTCTTGCCACTGCCATTGCTGCCAACCAAGGCTATGGTCTCTCCAGAGTTAATTTTGAGATTCAGGCCCTTCAGAATCTAGTAGTGTGTTTGAGAGGAAAAAAAGGAACAAGCTTCATAAAATTAGAATATTATCTATATATATCCAGGAATTTAATATATTGCTTTAAAAACCCAAAGCCAAACAAACTCATTTAGACCTTGTTACATGATTGCTTCATGTATATGTATATGTGTTAATCGATAACTCTCACTATATAAGTATTAATTTCCATAGTAATGTGGTAAAATAATGACAAAATAATTTCTCACCATCTATCTTTGCATCTTCTTATATATACAGAGAGAGAAAGAGACCTGGAAGAGGAGGTCTGAACTAAGAGCTTTATATATTAAAGAGTCACAGCAAACTGTTCACAATTTCAACTAAAATACTAATACATAATTTTTTGATTTACCAGTCAGCAAAGTTTTTTTCTTTTAATTTTCAATTACTGAATTAAATCTCCCCATATATCTCTGTAAGCAATTTAAGGAAGACCTTCCTTAGGAGGTACTTACGACATTATTACAGTCTGTCTCTGTTATTAAGTGCAATTGAGTCATTTCCAACTCATAGCAACCTTATATATGGTTCTGAGGAGTGACTGGTTGTTTTGAACTGCCGACCTTGCAGTTAGCATTCCAGAGATTATCCTACAACACCATACCAAGATCCCATTACTAAGTTCATTCCAAAGTAAAATAATTGACAAGGATCTTCAATGACTCCGTTGGATGGAGTTGCACACTTAGAAACCCTGTCTCTACTGATCTATCCATGAGGGCATTTGAATACATGCTGTGGAGCAGGGCAGGGAGGAGATTTATAAAATGTTCTCAGTGACTGGGTTTTGCTATCAGCATTTAGTGTCCTAGAGACCTGCAATGTGAGAGACCCCTTACAAAGAACTGTCCTCTCAAAATGCCAATAGCAATCCTTCCTGTTGAGAAACACACACTTATCCTGGTCTAAATCTGTGTGGATTAAATCAAAACCACTGGGATCCCTCCTTACGTTCTCTCACTCTGATCCCACCATTTGTAAAGACGTGAACATTTTAAATACACTATACTGCAAAACCTTTAAAAGGCAAAGCAAACAAAAGTCTTCTAAAGGGCGTTAGACAATGAGACCACCAGTGGGGGTAGTCCTCTCCCACCTGCATGTTTACTATAGAATTGATCTCTGTTCATTCTTTAGAAGACTCTAGGTCTTATTTAAAGTAGGAGAATATTTTTTTCTCTTTCAGTATTTATTTTTCAGCTTAGCACAAAGGATAATGTTTTGAAATTTTATTTTAAAACCTCAATGTGCCTTGTTGTTGTTGTTAAGTGCCGTCGAGTCGGTTCTGACCCATAGCGACCCTGTACAGGGTTTCCGAGGGTGTAAATCTTTACGGGAGTAGAAAGCTTCATCGTTCTCCCGCGGAGCGGCTGGTAGTTTCGAACCACTGACCTTAAGGTTCGCAGCCCAATGCGTAACCACTACGCTACCAGAGCTTCTTTCCACATAATATTGTGTCATGATTTTTGCTTAGATCTCCAGCAAGGCAACTCAAAAATGTACTTGCAAAATACAGTTTGGAATATTCTACTTATATTAAGAAAAATGGCTGAAGAATGTATTATTCCAATAATGGCAATTAAATACCAAAAATTAAAAATGAAAAATTTTGAAGAGATTTTCAATGAAAGCTTTAATCAAAGGAAAACAAGGAATTCAATACCTCTTTTAATTCTGTAAGGGACATTTGGACCCTTTGGAAGGCTTTAGATGAGTTCTGGTGTGCTATAGGATAAGCACTGGACTGCTAACCATAAGATTGGCAGTTCAAACCCACCAGTCACTTCTTGGAAACCTTATTCAGGCTTGTTTTAAACAGGGATCAACTCAACGGCACTTAACAACAACAACAACAGAGGCTGATGGCTTTTAGACTTCTGCTAGTTAACTTTAAAAAAAATCATGCTTTGCTTTTTCTATGAAAGACATGTTTTATTAGTAATTCCCTTTTGCAATCTTTAACAGTAACAACTTTTTGTGTGTAGGGGGGGCAGCAGGGAACAAATGCACTGATAAAGTAAGAATAAGAAGACAGCAGAAGATAAGACATATTTTCACAAGAATTTATAAATGGCTGAATGACACAGATCGGAGGATAAATTGAGTGTGGAATGTCTGGGCAGTGCAAATGACTAACGTGTTTGGTTGTTAACCAAAAAGTTGGATGTGTGAGTCCACTTAGAGGCAGCTCAGAGGAAGGGTCTGATCATTCTGACAGTACCAGGCATTGAAAATCCTATGGAGTATAGCTCTATTCTGACACAGGAAGCGGGGTCACCATGAGTCAGAGACGACTTGATGGCAGCTGTTTGTGTGTGTCCTGTATGTAGGTGTGTAATGTAAGAGTTCTGATGCTGCAATGGTTACATGCTCAGCTGTTAACCAAATGATTGGCAGAATTCACTAGCCGTTCTTAAGGAGAAAGATGTGGTCATCAGCTCCGTAGGAAACCCTGTGGGGCAGTTCTACTGTGTTCTATAGGGCCTCTATGAGTCAGAATCAACTGGAAGCCAGTGATAATGTAAGAATGAGAGAGGTTCCTGAGGTATTAGGAAATGTTCCTGAGGTATTAGGAAATGAAGAAGGAAAAGACACAACATGAACATAATTTCTTCAGGATAGAAAGTAGGTTTCAATGAGGTATGTATATTAAGCAGCCACCACCCTGTCAGTTGGTCTTTGTATGGTGGCTTGTGTGTTGTGATGATGCTAGAAACTATGCCGTGGCATTTCAAATGTCAGCAGGGTCATCTAGGGTGACCAGGTTTCAGCAGAGCTTTCAGACTAAAACAATCTAAAGAAAAAGGCTTGGTGACTTACTCCCCCAAATTAGCTAATGAAAACCCTATGGACTACAACAGAGTATTGTTTGGTAGAACGCTGAAAGAGGAGCTCTTTCTGTTGAAAGGCACTTGAAATACACAATGGCTGCAATACTGGACTCTAGCATAGCAACAATTGTAAACAATGTGCAGCACCCCGCAATAGCACTTCATTCTGCTGCATATGGACAGCATGTTAAGTGAGGTACCAGTAGGTGGCACTATTAATCCAACAAAGTTTGCTGCGTCCCCAAATTCAGAACAATGTCCAAAGAGCTGAAAATGCTTTATTTGGTTGAATCTACAGGAAAGGCTACAAAATACAGCTAGTTCTTCCACAGTTTTTTGTCAATTAATGATTGAATGATCGATTGATCTATCTATCTCATCTACTTTAGCTTTAAGCAAAGTAACAGATTCTTGGTCAAAATGATCCTAAACAATATCGTAAGAAAGGAACCTCAGACAATGGATGATAGTATCAGAAAACTGTACAATTCTTTAATTTATTCTACCTTGATAGATGGTCTTGACGGATAACTGAAAGTAACATTTTTAAATTCCACATTTCCTTCAATGTATTCAGGCTTACTTCCAGTTGTTGAAAAGTTATCAATAGTAGGTTTCTTGGAAAAACAAAGAGAATATTGTAAATATTTTGCAAACAACTAAAATGACACTATTGACTTGGACTGCTAACTACAAGGTCAATAGTTCAAATCTACCACCTGCATTGTAGGAGAAAGATGAGGCTCTCTGCTCCTATAAAGACATACAGCCTCAGAAACCCTATACAAGGTAGCTACAGGTCAAAATCAACTCCATGGCACATAACCACCAGCACCACCATATTTAAAAAATAATTTAGAGGTAGTTTTCTTCTACAATATTGTTTATTTCATGTATTAGAAGTTAGACATGAAGGCAATGACAAAACACCATCCCCTTGGAGTAAAAGTTAAAATCAATCTCTTTCCACAGTCAATTGGCCAGCCTGAATTGTACGCATCTTATTGTTTTAGGACTGTGTGCGTGCCTCTGTGTGTAGGCCTATTTTTGGTTCCTTTTTACAGTAATGCAGTAATGGTGGTTCTTCTGCACAGTAATTAGAGGTCTTACCTTATCAATAACCTGGAAAACATTAAAGGCGGCTCCTCGTGCTATAGTGAAGGTCTCAAGGTGAGGGACCGCTGCTCCAATGCAGTAACTACTGTGGATTACACTGAAGAAGACCTACAGGAACACCAGCAATAGGTTATCCTTCCACACTTACATAAGAGAGACTTCCGAATGGATTACATACTTGATGGAGGATCACATCAAAGTGGGAAAAAAGGAAAATACTGTATGTAAACCCAAATATTTTTTACTGCTTCCTTGGTGGAATTATTTTTGGTTATCACCATTTATTTATAAGGCTGAGCAGGAAATCTGTTGACTGAGGAACACTGGTCATGCATGATCTTGATGTATTTTAATACATAACTCCTAGGAGTTTGAGGATCCTTGGTGGAATAATGGTTTAAGCACTTGGTTGCAAACCGAAAGCTCAGTGATTTGAACCCACCAGCCTAAAGATGCAGCAGTCTGTTTCCATAAGATTTATAGTCTTAGAAGCCCCATTGTTGTGTAAAATATGTGCTCTGTCCTATAGACTCATTATGACTCAAAATTGGACTCCACAACAATGGATTTTGGTTTTAGTAGGAGAATAAAAGATGAAATTGGGATGTAGGAGAGACATCAGATATACAGTGTTCTTAGCATTACTGTATGTTGAAAGAATAAAGGAAGAGTTCAAGCTACAGAAGGTTTTCAGAAGAAAGATGTTCAGCAAGGTGAATGTAGAAATTTAGAGAGCCATCCTATTGCAACAAAGAGGAGAGGAAAAGTCTTACTGGAAGTTGATCTTTTCAATGGGGGTCTTAAGAAAACTCTATAGAGATATGTTCCAGTGGAGAACCAGATTATGATTCATCTAATAGCACAAATAAGTCACTAAACCATTATGGATGAATGCTGTTATTTTAGGTGTCGTCAAGTCATCTCTGATTCTCAGGGACACAATACATAACAGAATGAACTAGTGCCCAGTCCTGCATCATCATCACAGTTGTTATAATATTTGAGTCCATTGTTATGTCACTATGACAATACAACTAGTTGAGGATCTTCATCTTTTTTGCTGACTTTTCACTTGATTGTGTATGATGTCCTTCTCCAAAGATTGGTCACTCCTGATAACATGTCCAAATTACAAAACAATGAAGTCTCGCCATCCTTACTTCTTAGGAGTTTTTGGAATGTACTACTTCTAAGACAGATATGTTTGTCTGTCAGTCAAAGGTGCCTTCAATATTCTTCAACAACACCATAATTCAAATGCATCAATTCTTCTCTGCTCTTCCTTATTCATTGTCCAACTGTCACATACATATGAGGTGATTGAATATATAATGGTTTGGGTCAGGTGCACCTTAGTCTTAAAAATGGCATGTTTAAGGCGATCTTTCCAGTAGATTCACCAGAAGAAATACACTGATATGTTGATTTCTGCCTCTACAAGCACTGATTGTGGGTCCAACTACAATCAAATCTCTGACAGTTTGATGGCACCTAACAACAGCAATTTATAAAAAAAGTATTACTCTTTGAATAACCATTTCATTCAAAGAGGAAGTATTAGTACACATTGAGTAGAATTTGACTCAATGGCAATGGATTTGGTTTGGGTTTTATGTCATGTCTACTAATCCTTTAGTAGTAATTAGCGTAATACAATAGTTCAGTGAAACAGACTAGCAGGATCATAGCCTTCACAGCTGTGAGACTGTCAGTATCATCTACATCATAGAGAAAATCTATCCACTTTCAAGATGTAGTCCATCAATAGCAAACTTTGAGTAGGTTGGTTTCGATCCTCCCAGAGGTGCATAGGAAGACAAGCCTGAGGATCTGTTTCTGAGAGATCATGGCCTTGATCGCCCCATGGAGCACAGTTTACTCTGCACACATGTAGTCATCATGAGCTGGCAGTGACTCATAACAACTAACAACAACAAAAACTAGGAAGGAAAGATAATCTAGACTCATTACTGTTGTTCTTAAACAAGACTTACAGCAAGGACAGTCCCGATGGTATAACCGGGTTCTCCACTAAGAATCAAAGAGGATCCATACCAAAAAGCAAGTCCATAGGTTCCATTCATAAAGAAGTACACAGCACCAAGAGACAGTTTTGAAACGATAGCTTTTTTTATACCAACGTCCTTCGCATTTTTAAGATTCTGTGTATACCTTAAAAAGACAAAAAACAATGTACACTGTATTATCCATAAGGGAAAATAAAAGCAAACATATATTGTCACAGTTAATGGAACACACCTTTGAATTTCTTTGTCTTGACCTCCAAAGGCTATGACTGTTCGGATTGATGATAAGGCTTCTTCTGCTACAGCCCCAGCTTTGGAATAGGCACTTAATTCCTTACTGGTGAGTGAGATGACCATCTGGAATAAACCACAACCACAATTGACAAGGAGTCTTGCTGTAGGATGAACCGAAAAGTTGGTGGTTCAAGCTCACTAGCAACTTCTCGAACACCCTAGACAGGGTTGCTATGAGTTGGAACCAGCTTGAAGGAGCTTAACAATGACAGCAATACAGTTAACAAAAGAATGACTCTGTATTACTAGCGAATGCACAAAGCATTTAATTCTAATAGACTCTAGAATAACGTAATTTCATTATTAGAAAGGTACTTGTTGTTGTTGTTGTTGTTGTTAAGTGCCGTCGAGTCAATTCCAACCCATAGTGACCCTGTATAGGGTTTCAAAGGAGCAACTGTTGAGCTTGAACTGCCAACCTTGTGATTCAAACGACTTTCCAGTCTGGTGCATTAACCCACAGCGCCACAGCAGGACCCTTACATATCATTTATTCCATCTCTGTCAGTTCGCACGTAAGGAAACCCAGGGCCAAAAGTACTGACTTGTTTAAAGTTTCACAGGCAATGAAAGAGTTTAGTCTAACCCAACCTAGAACTTAAATATATTTCTAGATACAAAAATAAAAATCATATCTATTTTTCCTTCTACAGGTAGTACATCTATGTTTTTATTGACTATTATTTTTTAAATAAAAATGTCTCTAAGAAGATGAGCATCTTTATTAGGTGCAGTGTGAAAGACTTGATTTAGAGAAGGGTATTATGGGCTCTGCCTATTTTATATTCACTCTGGGAATGAATGAGCCTGGTTTGTTATTATGTGAAAAGCCTGGCTTCCATGGCGTAAGATGCAGGGGACTGGGGCCATGAGTAGAACATGATCCTTGCATATATGTGTGTGTGTGGTGGGTGATTAAAGGTTGTTGTCAGGTTTACCTGGTGTTTCAAAACTGGAAATCAGAATATGCCCTTTTCTTCTACAAACGAGGAAAAATACATATTCTGATGATCTCAGTAGAAGAAAAATGTGTATTCTGAGATCCAATCTTGAGAGACCAGGTAAAGCAAGCAATGAACTTTAATCAAGAAGAGCAATATTCTTCCCTCTCTTTGAGAAGCTCACCTCTTGGTATTGGAAAATGAAGCATTTACTAGGCAGACTACATTCAGCAAAGAATGCTTCCGGGGTCACTCCCACGTCACATGTATGCAGGTTGTTGTTGTTGTCAGGTGCCATCGAGTCGGAACCGACTCATAGCGACTCCATGCACAGCAGAACGAAACAATGTTCGATCCTGGGCCAACCTCACCACCGCTGCCACCCCCGAGTCCATCAATGATGCCACCTGGCCGATCCATCTTGTTGGAGGTCTTCCTCTTTTTCTCTGACCCTCCACCCTACCCAGCATGACATCCTTCTCCAACGATTGTTTCCTCCGGACTACATGTCCAAAGTAGGAGAGACGAAGCTTAGCCATCCTGGCCTCCAAGGAGCACTCTGGCTGCACTTCTTCCAAAACAGATCTATTGGTTCTTTTGGCAGTCCATGGCACCCTCAGTATTCTCCTCCAACACCACAACTCAAAGGCATCAATTCTTCTACGATCCTCTTTATTCATTGTCCAGCTTTCGCATCCATATGAGGCTATTGAAAACACAATGGCCTGGGTCAGGCGCACCCTAGTCCTCAAGCTGACATCTCTGCTCTTCAACACTTTAAAAAGTTCCTGTGCAGCAGATTTGCCCAGTGCAATACGTCGTCTGATCTCTTGACTGCTACTTCCGCGAGTGTTTATAGTTGATCCAAGAAGAATGAAGTCCTTGACAACTTCAATCCTTTCTCCATTGATAAGAATGTTGTTTATTGGTCCAGTGGTGAGGATTTTTGTTTTCTTGACATTGAGATGCAATCCATATCGAAGGCTGTGCTCTTTAATCTTCATAAGTAAATATTTCAAGTCCTCTTCACTTTCAGCGATCAAGGTTGTATCATCTGCATATCGCAGGTTGTTAATGAGTCTTCCTCCAATCCTGATGCCACGTTTTTCTTCATAGAACCCAGCTTCTCGTATTATTTGCTCAGCATACAGGTTGAACAAGTATGGTGAAAGTATGCAGGATCATTTCTCCTCCCTGCCATAGCCCTTTGCATCTTACCCTACAGAAGCTAGACTTTCTATATAACAAGAAATCAAGTCAAGTCCAATCGTGCTCACTCATTTGCAGAGTACACCTAAAATAAATGCAGTTGATAATAACTGCTGTCACTGAGTGGGTTCTGACTCAGAGAGAGCCAACAGGACTGTTCCTTAGGGTTTCTGAGATGGTAAATCTTTATGGGAGCAGACGGCCTCATCTTTCTTTCGAGGAGCAGCTGGTGGGTTTGAACTGCCAACTTTAGAGTTACAGCCCGGCACTTGGCCCACTGTACTCCAGGACTCCTGTTTCCATAATATCCTTCTCCCAATTTCACACTGTACCAATCTTCTAAAAGAATAATAAAAAAAATTTTTTTAATAAAGAGGAAATAATGGAGAAGCCCTACCTGTAGAAGAAAAAATGTATATGACTTTTATTTATTTCCCCTTTATTATATGTAATACTAGGGAGCCTTGAAGTCCTGATATAGAATTGTGGGATAAACACCTCAAGGTCAGCAGTTCAAACCCACCAGACCACTAATCAGGTCAGCAATTCAAACTTACTAACTGCCCTGAGAGAGAAAGTTGAGGCTTTCTGCTCCCATAAAGATTTACAGTCTTGGAAACCCTCTACAGGGTTGCTATGAGTTGGAATTGGCTCAAAGGCAGCGGGCTTGGCTTTTAATACATAACTTAAAGGGAAGCAGCACCTAGCATAATGACTTGCACACAATGGGTATTTGATAAATGTTTGCCAGTTTAAATTGAATTGAAGGAAGTGAGAAACGTTCTATTCTGGCATCTCTAGTCATTTGAATAACTTTGACCTTTCATGACCTTCATGATCAATTTTTATATTAGCAGAATTTAAAGTCTTGACTCTTGTTTCTGTTAAACATCCTGCCTACTTCCCATCCCTGGGCAGTTAAGGCTCTGATCTTAGTAACATACTAACTGTGGATAATCTTCCTACTGAGGGGTCCTCATTTCAAATTTTCTGGGGTGGAGATTTTAACAAAGATTACAAGGCCAACATTAGAAGTCAGAGTAAATATATATTTGACATCTAAATCCCAAATCCTATAGAATCTATCTGGAAATTTGAAACACAAGAGACTCTCCCAGTAGTGACAATCACTTAATCAATGTATAATGGGATAAATACTTCACTCAGGCGGTTACCTGAAGCTTTGTTAGACTGCTAATTGAAGAGGAAAAAATTTAAATACTGGTAAGATATTTAAAACAAATCATATTTTAGCCAAATAACTTGATGATAGAAAAGTGACGAGTGGTGAACAAAATAAAAAACATTTTGTAGTGCTTATATCTCTTTGTGGGCTAATGAGTCAGACTGCAAAGTTGTTTGAACTGCAAGGTTGGTGGTTGAGGCTCACCAGCTGCTCCTTGGAAACCCTATAAAGGGTTGCTATGGGTCAGAATGGACTTGACAGCACTTAACAACAACAACAACATATCTCTTTGTAGAATCCTGGTGTGGCACTGTGGGTAAAGGTGCCAGACTGCAAAGCCGTTTGAACTGCAAGGTCAGTGGTTCAAGCTCACCAGCTACTCCTTGGAAACCCTATACAGGATCACTATGGGTCAGAATCGACTCGATGGCACTTAACAACAACAACAACAACAATATCTCTTTGTTTTCTGGAACATGAAAAAATAATAGAAGATCTTAATTCATGAATTCAGCCAGACATCCAGTTCACTCTGCTATTTCCAATCAACACTGCATTTGCCACCTGCCTACCCTAGAGCACATTGCTGCTGAAGCCATTATAAGTGGAGCCGTGGACAGAGTCACCAGAGTGAGTTTCCAGCCCTTCACGAACCCAATCGTTAGGCCAATAGAAAAAGTAGCCATGTTTTGAAACAACAGGGCGAACTTGTCTCCAATACCATCGTGGATTTTGTTGATGTCCCTAAAAAAAAGAAGATAAAATTGATGAGTCATGTTTATGACATGTTTATGTCATATATGAAAACAAAATTGATGTGCAACTTATCTGTCCTCTTACTCAGTCATGCGAGCATTCAGTTCACTGATGTTACAGCCATCAAACCAGCTGATGTCCTGTGCCAAAATTGAATGAAAAAACTGTTTTCTAATTCTCTTGGTCTGTCGTGCTGCAGTTATAACCCAAAAAGAAATCTGCATGTAGCCAAAAACCAAGGCAGTCAGCCCTATTCCAGTATAATACAGTGTCAACCTGAAAACGGAGTATTGTGAATGTTAGTGTAACAGATACAGATTTTTTTTCCATTTTTAATAAAAAGAAATGTAATGAGCCATTTGATAGGAGAATTAATGCCATGGAACCTATAAAAGAGCTCAAAGAACAATGAGAAAGAATACAGTAATCTAGTTTCCCCTGCTGAGATATTTAGAATATCACCTTCATACTGTTAGTGGGAATTGATATCTAAAAACTTGTTTTCATCTTTCCCTTCAATATTTTTAATACTTTAACCTGAAAACATTGCAATGAAGACTGATGGAATTATATATCTGCATGTGGGACAAGAGACTAAAGAAAATGGTAGTAGTTAAAAGCATTTTATTAAAAGCTTTATATAATTTATAGTTAACTGATGTGTTAACTATAAATTATAAGTAAAAGACTACCAGCCGCTCCGCGGGAGAAAGATGAGGCTTTCTACTCCCGTAAAGATTTACACCCTCGGAAACCCTGTACAGGGTCGCTATGGGTCGGAACCGACTCGAAGGCACTTAACAACAACAACAACATGGGTTGGCAGAGCTAGTGCAGATAACAGTGTGGTTGAGGAAAGTGTCTTTGTAGAAAGGACATAATATCTGGTATCCAAGAGATGAAGAGAAGCCATCCAAACGAGTAAGAAGAGTAGTCCAGAGAAGGAGAAAGACTATGCATAAAGGGTTAAGACTTAGCATGTTCCAGGAACAAAACAAGTCCAAATTAACATGAAGTAAGGAGCTCTGGTAGCGTAGTGGTTACGAATCGGGCTGCGAACCTTAAGGTCAGTGGTTCGAAACTACCAGCCGCTCCGCGGGAGAAAGATGAGGCTTTCTACTCCCGTAAGGATTTACACCCTCGGAAACCCTGTACAGGGTCGCTATGGGTCGGAACCGACTCGAAGGCACTTAACAACAACAACAACAACAATGAGATTATAATGCCAGTCATGAGCATTTGATCCATGGTGCATTGCTCAGATTTTCTGCCAAGAGAAATAGAAGACTGATTTAAGGATGGGGTGACCTTATCTGTTATCTTTTAAAATATCACTCTGGAGCTTCTGAGGAGAATGGACGAAGGGGGCAATCAATAATGGAAGTAGGATATTTGGTTAAGAGGTCAGTGTAAGAAGAATGGGAACTTGGATGAAAGTAATGACATCTGGCTTTCAAAGAAATGGACCGATTCTAGATCTGTTTTAGAAACACAATGAACAGGAATTGTCAATGTATTATATGTGAGAAATGAAAGAAGTGGAGAATTCAACGATAACTCTTTAGATTTTGACTTGAGAAGTTAATTGGATGGAGTGCCATTTATGGATATGGGCGATTGAGAGAAAAACCAAATTTACAGGAGATATCAAGATACATGTTTTAGACATGTTATATCTGAGGTGCCTATCAGACCTCTAAGTGGACATCAAAGTAGACATTGAAAATGAAAGTCTGAAATACTGGAGAGGAATCTAGGTTGAAGTTACAAATTTGAAAGACATCAGCTTATGCTATTGTTGTGTTGTTCCGACTCACAGCCACCCAATGTACATTAGACTGTAACACTGCCTGGTACTGCACAATTCTCTCAAGTGTTATGCATGAGTCCTTTGTTGCTGCTGTTGTTGTTGTTGTTAAGTGCCGTGGAGTAGGTTCCGACCCATAGTGACCCTGTACAAGGTTTCCGAGGGTGTAAATCTTTACAGGAGTAGAAAGCCTCATCTTTCTCCCACGGAGCGGCTGGTGGTTTCGAACCGCTGACCTAAGGTTCGCAGCCTGATTTGTAACCACTACGCTACCAGAGCTCCTTAAGATTCAAAATGGCCAATACTAGTCTATTTTAGCTCACTAATGCCTAGGAAATTGGTCTTTACATGTTCCATTCCATTTTTACCAACTTCCATTTTTTCCTGGATTCATGCCTCGTACATTCCCTGTTCTGATTATTAGTGAATGTTTGCAGCAGTTTCTCCTCATGTTGAGTTGTGCTCCATCAGCAAATGAAGGTCCCAAAAGCTTTACTCCATTTGCATCATTGTGGTCAAGTCTACTTTGAGAAAGCAGATCTTCCCCTGTCGTATTTTGAGTGCCTTCCAACCTGAGTGTGTCATCTTCTGGCACTATATCTTATAATATTCCATTGATATTTGAAAAGTTTTCATGGACTAAACACTTAGAAGTAGTCAGCCAGCCTCTCTTGTTTAATAATCTGTCTCAGTCTGGATTCTCAGCTGAAACTCGTCCACAATGGAAGATCCTGCTGCTATTTCAAATACAACTAGCACAGTTTCCAGCATCACAACAACACACACACCACCACAGTGCAACAAACTGACAGATGAGTGGTGGTACAACATACATGGCAATTAATACAAATCAACTAGTAAAAACATAGATTAGTAGTTAGCGAGGGTATAGGGGAAGGGAGAGGGAGGACTTATTTAAACAAAAAATGACTCAAGAGATTTGCATGGAGAAGAATGAGAAGAGAGAGAGATATAAAGAGAGAACATGATACGTAGTGTAGGTAAAAAAGCCAGGGTAATGTGGTACCAAGAAAAACATAAGAGTAAAACAAATGTTTTCTAATCAGAGGAGATAATAGAACACTAAAGGTTCATCAGAAATCATGCTGTTGATAATTATTTATACATTAAAAAAATTTACAATATTGTAAGTGGAAAACAGGCTATAAAATTAAATGAGCAGATGAAATATAACATCTGCATTGAAAACTACAAAAACATATTTGAGACAAATTGCAGAGGATGGTGTGGCCCCCACAGGATTAGCACTTAACTGCTATCCACAAGATTGGTGGTTCAAACCTACTGACAGCTCCTTAGAAACTTTATATAGGGTTGCTATGAGTCGGAACTGACTTGATGGTACTTAACAACAACAGTAAATAAACAAAAAGACCACCTATGTTCACAGGTTGAGGGATTTTATAATGTTAAATTGGCAACTCTTCCTAAATTGGTCTGTAGATTCACTATGCTGTTTCAAATGGCATCAAGTTAGAACCAACTCATGTTTGGAAATCCTGTACAGTTCCAACTCTGTCCAGGGTTTCCAAGGAGTGGCTAGTGAGTTTGAACAGATGACCTTATTATTCAAATGACCTTGCATTCCAGTGTTTATCCTACAGTGTCACTATCAGGATTTCAAGATTCACTATAACCCCTACCAAAATCTTAGCAAGCCTTTTTTTCAGATATCAACAGAGGTGGTCCTAAATTTTATAAAGAAATATAAAGAACTCAGAATAGCCAAAACAAGTTTTAGAAATAAGAATAAATTTGGAAGGCTTATATTTTCTGATTTTACTTTATTTTTTGGCTAGTCAGCTATAGTAATAAAGACAAAGTGGTACTGGAATAAGGATAGACAAATAAATGGAACAGAATTTGAGAATCCAGAAATAAACCTTTACATTTATAGAGAAAGATTTCCAATTCAATGAAAAAAGATCATTTCTATAACAAATGGTGCTGGAACAAGTGAATATCCACATTAAAAAAAAAATTAATTTAGACTGTTAGCTCACACCCACCATTCACAGAAATGAATTCAAAATGGTTAAGTGTAAGAGCTAAAACTTTGAAGTTTCTAGAAAGAACATATAGGAAAAATATTTTTTATGACCTTGGGTTAAGCAAAGTATTCTTAAACTCAAGAGCAGACCACATAATTAAAAACAAAAAAAAAACTTGATAAATTGGACTTCAAAATCTAAAATTTGAGCTTTTTACAAAGATGGCGCCACCTGCTTAGAAGGAAGCCCCTGCCCCTCCCAAAACTGATACAAAAGCAAAAGCATTGAAGGACAAGAAGGCAGTCCTAAAAGGCAACCACAGTCACACACACAGAGATTAACATTTGATCCCCACATCGCCCACTTTCTAGTAGCCCAAGACACTGAGACTCCAAAGGCAGCCTAAACATCTTCATAAGGGAGCCCCTTGAAGACCACTATGCCATCATCAAGTTCCTCCGATTACAGAGTCAGTCATGAACAAGACTGTGTTCATTGTGGATGTCAAAGCCAAGAAGCACCAAAACAGACTGTGAAGAAGCTCTATGACAAAGACATAACCTAAGCCAACACCTTGATCAGCCTGATGGAGAGAAGAAGATTTATTTGTTTCCTATTTATGATACTTTGAATGTTGCCAACAAAATTGGGATCATCTAAACTGAGTCTAGCAAGCTAATTCTAATACAAATATTTTTTTAAAACATTTTTAAGCTTGCAAAATAATAGTAGGGTGTACAACATCATCAATATCATCCAGAAATACTATGTTCCCTTAAAAATCGGCTATGTGAGATTTTTAAACAGTCAATGATTACATCAAAACAAAGACAAGACTCAAAGGGGGCAGGTAAACTAGATTAATGAAAATGGAGCAACCAGAATGAAAAAAATGAAATTATTTATGCTTTGTGATGAATATAACCAATGTTGCTGAATGATTTGTGTAGAAGTTGTTGGAAAGGAATCTAAACTGTTGTGTAAACCTTCACCAAAGACATAATAAAATACAATTAAAAACATTTTAAAATGTGTGTGCTTCAGAAGAAGCCACTTGAAAATGAAAAGACTAGTCACAGACTAGAAGAAAATATTTGCCAATTACATATCTGATAAAGGACTTGCATGCAGAATTCAAAAAGAGTAATAAGTAATAAGAAAACAAAAAGAATTGCTTTGATGCACAAAGCACAAACTGTTGTAAAATTATAACAAAGATTTACTTCAGATTAACAATGCAGTGAAACAATTTTCACAAAGAATTTTTAAAGAAGAGAGAAAGTCATATAAATTGTTGCAATGAGAGGAACCAAGTTGCAACAAGAAGGAACTCAGATCCCTATCCATTTGAAGCTGTCTCTTAAATTTTCCCAGCAATGCCTTGTTCTTGGGCCATTGGTCAGCAATGAGGTAAGGGTAAATCCATTGTTCATCAGAAAGAACCAACTGATCATGATAGACTGGTTCTGCAGGTTATTTTTATAAGAAAAGACCAGAACAATAAAAGGTATCATCAGATAAGCACTTCCTTTGGTCAATGACCTTTTCTGTAGAATATATATTTTAATGGTCTTATTTGTCCCTCCCAGTAATTATGAGCTTAGAAAATATGTGAAGCAGGCCTGATTTGTCTCGTAAATATATTAGTGCCTTTGTCTTCTTTATAGAACAACTGAAAACTTGGTAAAATAATTTAATAGACATGGCACCAAAGAATATACAACCAAACCCAAGTCAAACCCTCTGCCATCTAGACAAATTCAACTCATAGTATGCTGTTGTTAAATGCTGTCAAGTCAGTTCTGACTCTTAGTGACCTTATATAAGGTTTCCAAGGAGCAACTGGTGAACTTGAACCACCGACCTTGCAGTTCAAATGGCTTTGCAGTCTGGCGCAATAACCCACAACACCACACCAAGACTCCCCAAGCATATAGGACAGAGTAATAAAGCTGCTACTGAGGATTTCTGAGACTGCAAATCTTTACTAAAGCAGACAGCCTCATCTTTTCCTACTGAGAGGCTGGGGGGTTTGAACCACCTTGCTTGCAGTTAACTGTCTAGTGCTTATTTCACTGTGCTATCAAACATGAAAAAATACTTATAATTGTTAATTACTAGGGAAATGCAAATTAAAGCAATAACATGACATCGCTTCACACTTGCTTCAATGGCTATGATAAAAAACAGCCAATAACAAGTGTTGACAAAGCCTTTGAGAAACTGGAACCCTCAAATATTGCTGGGGTAAATAAAAATAGTGTAACCATTTAGAAAACAGTTCTCAACAGTTTCTTAAAAAGATAAACATAAACTTACCACGTTGTTGTTGTTAAGTGCCATCAAGTCGGTTTCGACTCATAGCGACCCAGTATAAGGTTTCCAAGGAGCAGCTAGCTGATGGGTTTGAACTGCCAACCTTGTGGTCTGCAGTTCAGTGCTGATCCTACAGGCCACAACAGGAGTCCAAACTTACCATGTTGTTGTTGTTGTTGTTATGTGCCGTGGAGTCGGTTCCAACTCATAGAGACCCTGTCTGTACAGGGTTTCCAAAGCTGTAAATCTTTACGGGAGCAGAAAGCCTCATCTTTCACCAGTGGAACAGCTGGTAATTTCGAACTGCTAACCGTGAGATTCGCAGCCTGATTCGTAACCACTACGCTACCAGAGCTCCTTATGATCCAGCAATTCCACTTCTAGGTATTTTACCCAAGATAAATTGAAAAACACATTCTCACAAAAACTTGTATATCAATGATCATAGAAAACTTATTACAAAACAAAACTGTCAAAATATCCATCAGCTGATGAACAGGTATATCCTTGCAATGGATTATTGTTGTTGTTGTTAAGTGCTGTCGAGTCGAGTCTGACTCATAGTGACCTTGTATAGGGTTTCCAAGGAGTGGTTGGCAATCTTGAACCACTGACCTTGCGGTTCGAACTGATCTTGCAGTCCAATGCATTAACCCTCAGCACTACAACTACTACTCACCAACAAACCAAATTGCTGAACCATATTACAATATCTGTAAAGCTAACCTGTCTGGACTCCAGGTGTACCACTGTAGGATCAGCACTGGACTTCAAACAACAAGGTCGGCTGTTCCATCAGCCACTCCTTGGAAACCCTATACAGGCATGCTTTGAGTTGAAACGGACTTGACAGCATTTAACAACAACAACAACAAACTAACATAGACTTAATAATCCAGTTTCTCCCTTCTTTTTTACTTAACTGATAGTAGATACATCAGATTAGCAAAAATGGGGGAAGAAGATGGTTAGAAGTTAACATAGAATCAATGAGTTTACTCTTAACAGTAAAAGAGATGGCACAGCTATCAGTGGACTATTCAGTTATGATATGGAGTCAACCAGAAAAGATAAAATTATTTTTCAGAATTTTTAATTAGTAAAACAAAGGCATAGACTCAACCATTAAATGTTAAAATTGCATAGCGATATGAGTCAGCTATTTTTCAAAATAATTTTAGTAGAATAAAATTTAGGTCCTGATGCTTGTAAATAATGAGGAAGTATCTTATAGTGAATTAAAAAGTCATTTAAGCAATGTTTCCCAAAAAGGTATTCCTTAAAATATAAGTTCCACAGTATGTTAATAACTGTTGGAAAAATGAGGTTCCATGGTCAAAGAGACCTTAAAAAATTGCATTAAATCAAGTTAACTAAGTGGAGTCCTTAAGCTGCTTGTGCATATTATGTGTATCCCAGAGAGGAACTCTCATATACAGAGTTTTCCAAATCATTTGACCATGGAAACTATTTCTCATCAGACATCTCATACATTTCCAAAACAATGCACTGTTTTAGAAACTAGCATAACAAACACTGTATTATAAAGGCTAAGAACAGTTTTAATAAATTAACTAGCATTGTAATAATTATATACTGACATTTTATTTCCATCTTATTCTTCTTTTTACAGTCTTTTAAAATAATTTTCAAATGGATGCCTCTATTTTATAAGTTCCTGATTAGGATCCAGGAGCTTGCCTCCCATTAAATTCTAGTCTTACAGTATTAAAGCAGAATTTTGATGTACAATTATGAACATAAATAAGTGTCCTATCCAAAATTCCAAATCATGTTTCATGATTCTCTTTCAAATATTTATTTCATGTGCTGCACAAATATTTTGGTTTTAAGAGTTTATAGTACTAGAATAATCTATAAGACTTTAAAAGGAAAATATTTTTTTTTAAAGGAAAACTTGTATTTTATCTTCTAGAATATGCACCTTTAATTTTTTTGGGCAAAACTGGTATGAAAAGGCAGATCCCCACAAATTTTCTGTTGATGATCGCTTTGTCAAATTGAATCCAAAACATATGAATTTATAAACCTTTCAAATAGAAGAAAAATCATAGAGTAATTTTATTACATTGATATATAATGAGGAAAGTGAAATATTTGCTTTAATCAGCTGTATGTAATATTAATGAACAGACAACAGTTTTCAGTTTTTTGTCTTTGTAAATACTGAGTTAAAGCAGCCTGTCAAGGCCCGGATGTTAACATTTCATTTGGACTTACTGCACCGTATCTTCAGTCGACTTCTCTTGGGACTGATTACAGCTCTGATAATTTGCTGTAAAAAAAGTTTTTAAATTATAAAGGAAATTAGTTTATATTGTCAGCAATGTTTCATAGATAATCTCACAAACCAAATGAAGTACGTTCTCAAGGAAATTGACTTAATGCTCATGCACAAGTTGAAGATCATTTTACTGTCCATTTTCTCATCTAAAGTTACCTAACCTACTGCCATTAAGTTGATTCTGACTCATAGCAACTCTATAGGGAAGAGTCAAACTTCCCTTTTGGGTTTCTGAAAATTTACAGGGTACGTCAGCTTCTTCTGTCTCCCTTGGAGCAGCATCGTGGGTTCGAACTGCTGAACTTTTGGTTCAATAAGTTTTGGTTCAATGCATAACCCACTATGGCACCAATGCACCTTTATTCTTTCACTCAAAGTTTGAAGAAGCAGTCATACAACATCAAAAATTACAAGAAAACACTGACTAGTTAGCTAATACCCAGAAAGGATTCTGTAGAATATCTCTGGTGTCAGAAACAGCTTGCTAAGTAATAGTAGTGGAATTCCCCCTTTCTCACCTGAGATTATGCAATTAGAATTAAATTTGAGACACTTTAGGGAATAATTTCGAAAGACCCAAAAAGGCAAGAACACATGTGAAAGTCTAGAAGAAGCCATAGGAAATACAAATAAAAACTCTTTGAAATATGATTGGTCTAGGCAGGATAGTCACATAACAAAACTGTACAAAACAGCCCTTGGATTGCAAGTTTTCTATGTAAAATTTCTAGGTATTTTCTAATGAAAAATTTGTTATGTGCTAATTAGCATATCAAAGTCATGATTTCATTAATAACACATTACTGAACAATATCCACTGTCATAATTTTCTTTCAACATTTGAAATGAATTACAGAAATCATGACTCTTTATCAATTGCATATCACATTATTATTAAATGATCTTTATTTATATGCAAATATTAATTTATCCCATATTCCAAATATGGAATTGTGGTAGGAAAAAAATTCTAAAGAAGCTTATTTCAAATATCAGAATTGATGTTGTAGAAATGAAGTCATTAAATGTTAATAGAAAGTTTTAATGAGATTAAATTGAGCTAATAAAGGGAGCGCCCTGTCTCTGTAATTGGTACCTAAAATTACTTAAGATAGGATAAATTCCTTTTGGAGATTTTATCAACAGAGGTAACATGTGCAAATGTTTAGTGCTGGCACAAAAATGGGGCCTTACTAAGTGATAGTTATTATCTTCCTTTTAGTTGTAGGAGCACAGTTATCATATTAAAGGAATCAGTACTGGAAGATTGAAGGTATATCCCTTAACATACCTAACTCTATTTAACGAGTCTCAATACACCAACAATATCCATGGGTTTATCAAATCCTGAATGCTGACAAACTGAAAAAATGTGACTATTGTCACAGAAAAGTTTTGTGTAGAAACTGTCAAATTGGATCCTAATACAATGTATAAAATTTCACCCAAAACACAATAAAATATTATATAATAGAGATACTCCCAAGCTGACTGCCTTCAGTCGCTAGTGCTAGCCTATCCTTCCATTCATTAATTCAGAGAGAGACACAACTGGAAATCAATATCGATTTGTTAAGTGAATTGGATCCATTTGATTAACAAACAGAATGGCATCCTTAATTTAGTTTATATTATTAAAACAGGAAAATAATCTGTAATGTTTAGACAGGAAACTATCACTTAGAAGGATACAGAAGTACAAGCAAAGGTATTATCCCAATCAACTAAGAGTGGGACACTTGAAAGATTTCTTTGGACAGAAAACAAGGTGGTATAAATGAGCATTTAAAGTCAAATTGGGCAAAGAAGAAGGTAAATTGGCATATAGTTAGGCTAGTGTCTAAAAAATGTTTAGCTTTAATGAGACACTTACCTCAGTTATAATGAATGTAGTACACTGGTGTGGTGCTGTGGGTTAATGCGCTGGACTGCAAGATTGGTTTGAACCACAGGTTGGTGGTTCAAGCTCACCAGTTGTTACTCAGAAACTCTATACAGGGTTGCTATGGGTTGAAACCAACCCAATGGTACTTAACAACAACGTACTTCCTAAGATAGAATTTTTTGAAACACGTATAAATTTAGGAAATTACTAATATTTATAAAACTTGTATTCACCACATAAAAATAATTTTGGATACTCACTATATCAGTGCATAGGGGTAATTACTTTGAGCTTATATCTAAAGAATAAGGTCAACTTGAAAGACATAATCCTGAAATAAGATTCTGAAGAGGCAGCAATACTTGAAGTATGTCTACAAACACAGGCAGTACAAAAATATATTTTTTCCCATATGCTGATTGCAACTTCTCTCCTTTGATGGTTCAGGTTGTGTGAAAACATTCCTGGGCCATGATTCTCAGTGGTCTGGCAGTTATAACGTGGTCATCTCCCATGATGAGATCTGAAATTATGTAATCATCTGCTACCCGTAGCCAATCAATTTAAAGGAATTTTCCTCAGGGGTGTGGTCTGCTTCCAGTATATGTGGATACTCTGGCATAACTTGCTTGCTTTTTGCTGGATATGGACCCTGCATCTGGGGCTTCACCTGGCCTCCAGTTGAACTTGAGCCTGCTGCATTGCCTGATGATCCTGGGAGTCATCAGCAACCAGCTAGCCTTGGATTAATTTGCCACTGCAGCCAGCAGTCTACCCTCTGACTTGCTGTTCATGGGTTCCTCAGCTCCTACAGCTTTGTGAGCTCTAGCAAAAGCCTCCTGTCTGACATTCGACCCACAGATTTGGACTTACCAGCCTCAATAGCTGTGTGAGCAATTTCTTTGAGATACATCTCTCTGTATACACAAATACATACAGATATTCACTGGTTTTGTTTCTGTAGAGAACCCAGTCTAAAGCACTCCTATCTTTATTCAGAGTATTTATCTTTCAAGGAGTCCTAATTTTCCACATGTTCTTTCCTGCTGCCTTGCTGTATCCTGTTCTATAGTGTCAATGCATGTGTATATACTATTAAAGACATCATACATAGCTATCCAAATGATTTATTCTTGATTTCTTACTTTTAAAGGGTGCATTATAGTGGTCTGAAATGGCTCAAGCTTTTGATTAAATTCTCATTTAGAGCCATTTGTGATAGAAAATTCTTTGAACTCCTAGAGAGATAGATTGATCTGTGGTGAATTTCATATGACTTTTACATACTCTTTCTGTCAATTAATTAAAAATACATTTATATTTGTTGTTGTTGGTAAGTGCCAACTAGTCGATTCTGATCCATAGCGACCCTGTGTAGGAATTACAAGGAGCAGCTGGTGAGCCTGAACCACCAACCTTGCAGTTCAAATGACTTCGCAGTCTGACGCATTAGCCTACAGTGCCACACCAGGACTACTATCTAATTGTATATCTTTAACAGATGACATGAATATGTTATTGTGATTAAGTGCTGTTGAGTTAATTTTAAGTCATAGTGACCCTGAAACTCTATTGGGTTTCAGAGGCTTTAAATCTTCTTAGATATAGAAAACCTCATCTTTTCCCAATGGAAATGCAAGTGGGCTCAAACTGTGGGTTCATAGTCCATTGCTTACCTTATAGAATCACCTCACTCCTGACAGAAGTATATTATCTATTGTAGGTGTGTTTGAATTATTTGTTGTTGTGTATTGCTAGGGAACATAGAGTTGTTCTTTGCTCCCTATAAATTATTTGAATACATATGTGTTAAATAGGTATTGTTTGACAATGCAATAGTCTGTATTGTGAAATAGGCAGTTGCTTTTGATACCCTAGTAATCGAGAAAAATAAGTGTTGTACTCACTTGTGTTAGTTCTGATTAGACAACCGCTAATTAGCTTATCACTTGTTTTTCCTAAAACTAGTGACATTACAGGAAGACAAGCTCCATTCACCAGTGATGCCAACAATCCCAAAATCATGAACAGGATGTCCAGTCCATCAGCAAAGCGAAACTGAAGAAAATAAGACACAGTAGTATTACAACTGCAGACAAACTAGTTTCTGCCAATAAGTCAATGCTACTGTACAAACTGGCTAAAAGACTAAATAATTCTCTATAATAATCTTAAGAATTTGCAAACTATTTTGAAAGTGTCAAAAAATAAAGTAGCTAAATTAGTACCAATTTTACATATGTGACACAAGACAAACCCGATGTGGATGTAACTCAGAAACTGTCTTCCATTTGATTGATTCCGGAATCAATTAAACTATTTTGAAAGTCTATAGTGACAATATCTTTGCTTATGAGAAATTAATTTGAAATCTTTTCCCAAATCTATTTCCTAGGTTTATCAGCACCAGAGCAGTGGTACAAATAAGTACAGTGAATGACAACAATCTAGTAACAAAGCTAGTTCAACAAATGTTATGAGTTATATTCTTGGTTCTTATTAAAAGTCCAGATGTTTTCCTATCCAGGACAATGGCATCCTTTAATATAATTTTCAAGGCTTTCTGGCATGAGAGAGAGAGAGAAAAAATAAATCTAAATACTGATGGCTTTATAGATTGTTCTACAGCAGAGTCCTCCACAACACTACTCCAAAATCAAAACATGAGCAAACCTTGAAAATGTGAATTAATTATTTTACTGGGAGGGGCCAAAATAAGATGTAAGATGGTATTGTAATATAACTAGATTTGAACAACAGGCACAGGACTCAGTAAATACTTTGTGAGTAGAGACAAACGTTTCATGAATTTTCTGACTCACCAAGTTGCTAATAAATATTTATGGTGTAACTTGCACAAGAGTGTAGTCAGTGCTACAGATAAGAGGGTACATGTTCCTCTACCTTCCCACAGAATAGTGTAGTTTCTCCTTGATAAAGGTTTCCAAGTTCTACTATTCCACAGGTTCTTTTTAATTTGACTTTTGAATAAACAAGGAAAGTTTCACATGCAGTTCTAATGCCAACGAAAGCCACAGTGGCATAGACATTAGAGCAGATGGAGGGGCTACATGGAAACATGACTGAAAGTGTTACTTGAATATAATTTAAAAGATGCACAATTACACTAGAAACATTTTCTGCTGTATTGTTGTTGTTAAGTGTTGTCGAGTCAGTCCCAACTCATATTAAACCTGCATAGGGTTTCTGAGGATCGACTGGTGAGTTTGAACTGCTGACTTTGAGCTTCAAACTGACCTTGTAGTCCCGTGCATTATCCTGAAGATCCACACGAGGACAAACTCCAAACCCAGCGCTATCAAGTCCAATCTGACTCATTGCGACTCTATGAGCATAGGACAAAGTAGAACTGGCTCATAGAGTTTCCAAGGCCATAATCTCTACAGAAGCGGACTTTCTCCTCTGGGAGGTTTTGACCAGCAAGCTTATGCTTAGCAGCCAAGCCACTAACCGCTGCACTGCTATGGCTCCTTGTCTGATATTTATTGATGTTGTTGTTAAGTGCCGTTGAGTCAGTTCTGGCTCTGTGCGGTCCAGCGCATTATCCTGCAGCGCCACACCAGGACTTGTAAAATATTTAGATTCTTATTTTTAATGTGTTTATAATAATTTTAAAAATGAAAGCAATATGTATCTATATACAATCATTGGGAAACACTAACATATAAAAGGAGCTCTGGTAGCGTAGTGGTTACGAATCGGGCTGCGAACTGCAAGGCCAACAGTTCGAAACTACCAGCTGTTTCGCGGGAGAAAGATGAGGCGTTCTGCTCCCGTGAAGATTTACAGCCTCGGAAACCCTGTACAGGGTCGCTATGAGTCAGAATCGACTCCATGGCACATAACAACAACACCAATACAGTATAATAAATGGCAACCACACACCTCCTCAGCTTTATGACTACTGGGAAAATGGGGTCACTGCACAATGATTTTTTCTGCCTCGCTGTAACTTTGCAAGGCACTGGAGTCCTGGTTATAGCATTGAGGGTTAATGTGCTGGGTTGTAAAGTTAATTTGAACTGCAAGGCTGGCAGTTCAAGCTCACCAGCTGCTCCTTGGAAACCCTATAGAGGGTCGTTATGGGTCAGAACCAACTGGATGGCACATAACAGCAATAACAACCCTAAGGCACTAGAAGTTTATTGTATGGAAGCTTTGGTGTTTATTTTCCTTAACCCTTATCATGGAACCTTCGAATTTTTTAATGCATTTTTCCTAGTCGAAGTAAACATGAATGGATTTTTTTTTTTTTCAAATAATGAATGCAGATTGTCAAACAAACACAACCATTCCACTTACTGCTAAGATTTTCTTATTCACATACTTCCCAATTGATTTGACTTACTATCTCTATAGGTCCAACAGCTTGCTGTCTCACTTTAGCTACTCCATGCAGCGTTCTGAAAAATATATATTTAAAATGGAAAAGGTTACAGTGTGAATGTGATATGCAAATTTGTCCAGTTAAAATATGTCAGATTTAATTTTTTGCTGCTCTTGCTGTATTTGATTCCTGGTGGCCCTTTGTCTGTCAGAGTAGAACAACTCCCTAGGGTTTTCAAGGCTGTAGCCTTTCGAAAGTCTATCACCAAGCTCCTCTTCCAAGGTGTTCAAGTGGACTTGAACAGCAAATGTTTTGGTAGCAAATATATATCAATATTGAAAAAAACAAACAAACAACTTGATGGACAGTACTAAGATTTTTAGTATAATCACTGAGAAATAAAAGTTTTATTGGCTACCCCTATATTTCTTAGCCTAACAACTGAAGACACTCCTCTACTGTAAATGTTTAACCTTTACAACAAATTGCTCAAGAGTAACAGCTTTTAATGAAAGAAGCCCATTAAGAACACATTAAACAAGCATACTCTGAAATTTGGTCCCCATATAAAATGTTCATTTCTTAGCTCACATTTCAAGGAGGTCCAGATGAAAACTTCTATTTAATCCTTTAAGGTCAGTGAAATCTAATAAACACACACACACATACATACATACAGATTCTAAAACATTAAAAGATCACTAGAGGTGAGCAGATGACTTTCTGAAAAGCTATCACAAGCGTGAGAACCCCTGACTCTTCTCTCCAGTTTTATAATAGATCGTTCTGCCAGACTGAACAGGGGATGAGTCATTGGATTGCATTCCATCAGAGGTTGATGAGTGACTTATGTACTGGACCAATTTGCTCTGTGACTATGCACAGATGACAAAACAGGCTTCAAGCTTGTAAAGCCCCACACCCTTTCCTCCTGTTGGAATTTGAAAGTGTTGTTAAGTGCTGTCGAATCGATTCAGACTCATAGTGACCCTGTATAGGGTTTCTGAGGAGCAACTGTTGAGTTTGAACTGTCAACACAGTGGTTCAATCCAGTGCTGATCCTACAGTGTTTGTCAGGCCAAACTAAATTATTCATGCTTGATAAAAATTTGCTCATGGAAAGTATTTCTGTCTCCCATTGATTTTCATGGGAAGACTGTGAAGCAGGGCTCTAGGTCTTCTAAAAGTCTCTTTTCTATTATGGTTGAGAGTGGAGAGCTGCACAGGGGAAGCAGTGCAGGTTTGGAGGTCTCCCAGGCCTTCACAACTTTCACACCACACCTCCAGAACCCCCAAGTGTGGGGCAAAGCCTAAGTAAGACATGAGATGAAGGTGCTGATTACACTACAGGCAACCTGGGACAAGACACAACTAGTGTAGCTCCACCTCCCACCCCCACCCCCAGTGTTTGCAAGCTGTAAGGTCAGACCCAAAACCTATATCCCATGCTTATTACATTTTTCATGATTTATCCAATCCTTGCGTTCAATCTCTGTAACTACTTTCGTTCATGTTGTTTTCTCTCATTCTTTCACATCCAAGTGAATTTGAAGTGCTTGTTCTCACTTCTTAGGGACATAACAAAATTAACCATGTCACCATCTGATTTTCTGTATTGTTGTACATAGCTGTTGTACTCATTTGCTATTGTGGTTGTACTGACGTCCACCACTGTTTCTTAAGCAACCTTATGAGGTAGGTTATATCATCGAAGTTCCTGAGTGTGCAAATAAATAGTTAATGCACTTAGTTGCTAGTGGAAAGGTTGGAAGTTCAGTCCACCCATGGGTGTCTCAAGAAAAAGGCCTGTTAATCGACTTTCTACTGAAAATTGTATGGAGTACAATTCTACCCAGGCACACATTGGGATGCCATGAGTTGGAACTGATACTGAAAATGAGTTAGTATTATGATCATGACTTTGGCCTAGGAAACTGACTCACAGAGTAAATAGCCCAAGTTTACATAGCTAGTAACTGAACTTGAGTCTGACTCCAGAGACTGAACTTGAAACTCTTAACTTGACCTTTAGAGGTGAGAAAGAGCATTTTCAAACTAAGGCTATTCATAAGAATGAAAATTCTGGCTAAACTATAGGCCAAATCCCACTTTGTCCTAAGTAACTCTATTTTGTACTTTTCTGTTATGTGATACAGACATGCCGCACTATGATTTCTACAGATACAAGTAATTTCTACAGAAGTTTGTATTTTTTACCACTCTACTCTACTTAAGAAGGAGCTCTGATAGTGTAGTGGTTATGAATTGGGCTGATTATCTCAAGGTTGGCAATTCAAAACTACCAGCTGTTCCATGGGAGAAAGATGAGGCTTTCTATGCCCATAAAGATTTGCAGCTTCGGAAACCCTATGCAGGGTCACTATGAGTCAGAACCGACTCCATGGTACTTAACAACAACAACTCTACTTAAGGAGTCCTGGTGTGGTACTGCGGGATAATGGATCAGTCTGCAAAGTTGTTTGAATTGCAAGCTCGGTGGTTCAAGTTCACCAGCTGCTCCTTGGAAACCCTATATAGGGTCATTATGGGTCAGAATCGACTCAATGACACTCAACACCATCCACAACAACTCTACTTAAAGATGAGCTTATGGTTAGAAATGTTGTTGTTGTTAAGTGCTGTCGAGTTGGTTCTGACCCATAGTGACCCTGCATAGAGTTTTTGAGGAGCAACAGGTGAGCTTGAACTGCTGACCTCATGGTTCAAATCGACTTTGCAGTCCAGTGCATTAACCTAAAGGGCTACACCAGGAGTCCTGGTTAGAAATAGCCAATATAAAAGACTACTCAACTTGTACAGATATTAAACATTGCATTAAGTATGTTGACTTTTGTGTCCAAGCAGATTTTAAGAAAATAAGATCCTCAATATTAATTATAAATTTCTAAACCTTTTTCTAATTAACCTAATTTATGATTAAAAATCTTGGCTATGTGCCATGGAGTTGGTTCCGACTCATAGCAACCCTGTATAGGGCTTCCAAGGCTGTAAATTTTTAAAGGAGTAGAAAGTCTCATCTTTCTTCCTTGGAGCAGCTGGTAGATTTGAACTGTAGACCTTGCAGTTAGCATCCCAACATTCATAGCCCACTATGCTACCAGAGCTCCTTTATGATGAAAATAACTGGTGGTAAAGAAAGATAAAGTTATAACTTTTCTATATCAAAACCCACTTTTCTCTCCTTAAACAGAATATTTTGCACTCTTACTTGCTACTATTCTATTTCTTCAAAATTTCTTCAACAGAACTCACCATCCTAACATTAAAGTAGCTCAGTTTAACCCTGCACATGTCTAGATATCAGGAAGGCAAAATTTTATCAGCAAAGCAAAATCCTGTCACCTGGATACATCTTGACAAAGGAGACCAACTTCTGCAGAGGTGGTCTATCAAAATCCTG